GGCAACTTTAGGCATATCGGCTATCGGCCGATATGTTTGCTGATAGGGGCCGATATTTCACGTGGGCATGTGATACCTCGTTATAAATCTTAGACTCTCTACATTCTGTTCATTTAATCCAATTTACAGACAGATAAATGTCCTAATATGTGGCTCCACATCAGTATTTATCTACGGAGTCATTTGTCTGTGTGTGTCGTACTGTCCCTGAACACACCACAGAGTCACGTACTGTCCCTGAACACACCACAGAGTCACGTACTGTCCCTGAACACACCACAGAGTCACGTACTGTCCCTGAACACACCACAGAGTCGCGTCACTCACGTGTGTTTGTTTACACCTGCAGACTCAGATCCAAACACTGACATTATTTTCTTTTTACGGACAATCGGTTTGAGTCTGGATTAAAAGGACATTTATTAGTGCAGATTTGTGATGTGGGAGGAGCCTGTGTGAGCGGTGAGTGTTGGAAATATGTCGACTCTGAAGCTAGTTTTGGTCATTTGTTATGGGTTAGCTGCTGTAGCTCCGCACATAAACAGTCTGTTTTCTTTTGGTTTGTTCTAAAGTGATTATATTGTTCGTATATTTGCTCCTGGACCTGCACTGATATGTAAATGAGCTGTGAACAGACGTGTGAATTATGACATTTGCGTATATAATTAATTACCGCGGCGCGCACGTATTTACGGCTAAAGGCTAATAGCGCTACTTTCTTTACTAGTTATGGATCCGTCGCGAACGAAATGACTCTTAGAACCGATTCTTTGAAGCGAACGACGGGAGCCTGATCCTTATTGGGAGCCGTGTTTTCTCTTTCTCTCACTTTTTTTCTCTTCACGCCGCGTGCAGATTCGTGGTAGTTTGACAGCGGCTGAAAACGAAACTTTGAGAAATTTGCGTGTACGTAGGATTAAAAAAAAACAAAAAAAAACCGAGCATATTTGACTGTAGTTTAGCATAAAATAAATAAGTCCCGGTTTAGTCCTTTTTCAGTCCTGGTTTAGACCTGGTTCAGTCCTGATTCAGTCCTGCTTTAGACCTGCTTTAGTCCTGCTTGCAACAAAACAATCTGAAGAGCCACTTGGGAGCCAAAAGAACCAGCAGCTTTTAGTGAGCCGAGCCAAAAGAGCCGGTTCTCTAAAAAGAACTGGAATAAACATCACTAGTGTCTAGAATGTGATGCAAAAATGCCATTAGTCCAACTGTCTGTAAATATGATGTAAAGAGGCAGAAGAACAATAAATGTTTCCTAAATAAACCCAATTTAAAATCCAAAAGAGCCAAACCTAAGTTTTTTAAACAATTTAACATTTACAGTGAATTTTTACATCACTAAATATATCGGCGATTATATCAGCAGCGCCAACTTCCATTATATCGGTTTCATATCGGCCACAGCAAAATCCATATCGGTCGGGCTCTAGTTAAGATGCACAAATAAAAACTCCTCCTCATCTGAGGTTGTGGGTTTAAATCCTGCTCTTTAGTTTGTGCTCAGATCTTTAAAAAATATAAAGTTAGTTTTCTGAAGTTATAATTAGATGTGATGTTATCCACGCCAGAAGAAGGAATCAAACCAGCAGCTCTTAAGTCAGGAGACTGTTCCATCTGAGCGCTCGACCTCCTGAGCCACAGGGAAACGTCCACACATCTAAATGTGAGATTAGAACAGAACTCTGTCTCCAGTGAAGCTGTAAAATAACGAGAGCAGAGCTCAGAGCCGCAGAAACGGGCCATAGGTTTGTTCTGCGGTTGTGGGTTCAAATCTTGACTTTAATGCCTAAAATTAATTAAATTAATTTAGAAAAACTCTTGGCTCAGAGATTATGGTGAGAGCAGAGTTAGTCCTGCTTCAGACTCAAACCAGGAACCTTTGAGTAACAGGGCAGAGTGTCGCATCAGTGAACACGAGTCTCCAAATGTAAGAAAACATCTGTCCCATAAACCGATAATGTGACTCTAAATCTACATCTGAGCAGATCTGAGGAGCAGCTGCAGTTTGACTCTGAGGTCGAGACACTGATATGTGATGTTCTCCACTTGGTTCTGAGTTCAAATCTCAGCTTTAACTCTTCAGCTCAACTTTAGAAAAACACTTTGTTATTGTAACATTCACTTTGAGACGAGAGTTGGTTAACCTGAGTCTGACCCAAAACTCCAATAATGTGAAATCTAAAATAACCCAGATGAACTTTGCCTGAGTCTGTGGCTCAGAGGCTCAGACACACAGATGTTTTCTTCTGAGTTTGTGGTTTCAAGTCTCACCTTTAACACTGCAGCTGAACCTTAGAAAACACTCGCTCTCTCAGTAGAGCCGCTGCTCCTCCACGTGGAGAGGAGCATCTGGGGGGAGGAGCTTGGAGTAGAGCCGCTGCTCCTCCACGTGGAGAGGAGCATCTGGGGGGAGGAGCTTGGAGTAGAGCCGCTGCTCCTCCACGTGGAGAGGAGCGTCTGAGGGGAGGACGTCTGTTCTGACGTCTCCTGGACGTGTCCCTCAGGAGGTGTTCATGTCCCACCGGGAGGAGGAGAAGACCCAGGACACACTGGAGGGACCATGTCTCTGGACTGGACTGGGAACACCTCAGGTCCCACTGGAGGAGCTGGAGGAAGTGTCTGGGGTGAAGGAAGTCTGGGAGTCTCTGCTCAGACTGATGCTCCGAGACCCGACCCCAGAGAAGAACATGGAGGATGGGACTTGATGCCCCCTCCAAATGTGAGAACATGAGGTGTTTCAGGTCTTTCAAGTACTACGTGACATCACACAGCACTGCCCTGATCACAGACTCTCACTTTCTATAATGTTATATATGTGTGTGTATAATTTTATATATATACATATATATATATACATATATATATATATATATATATATATATATATATATCCCCCCTGATCTGAGGCCACGCCCCTCTTCTTCCTGGTGGGAGGAGTCTAATATCACACTAAACTACGACAAACAAAAAGGTTTATTTAATTGAAAAGGTTCATATTTACAGACATAATTCACCTTTAGTTTATTTATTCTGACAGATTTGAACTTTGACACATTTTTGTTTCATGTGGATGAAACATTAAAGGTCCAACTGTTCTAATGTAGTTTATACTGAGACTCCATGTCCCATGATCCTCTGTTCTAATGTAGTTTATACTGAGACTCCATGTCCCATGATCCTCTGCTCTGTTCGTCTCGCACACACCTGCAGTTATGTTTTGTTTAACACACAAACCCTCAAACTGAAAACACTGTTCCACCTTGTGATGTCATCATGTGGTGATACAGGAAGTGCTCCACACACCTTCACTAGAATCACCTGGATCATTTCAGTCCTGGAGTTATGATCTCGACTGAACTAAAGGGAAAAGAAGCTGAGAACTTCATGACATCATAAGGTGGAACAGAGCGTTTGGAGTTTTGGAGAGTCACAAAAACAAACACAACTCCAGCTCTGAGTGTGACCAGGAACAACGGAACAGAAGAACAGAACATCAGAACATCAGAACAACAGAAGTTGAAGTTCAGTGTCGGTTTGTGTGATGCAGGACCATGAACCAGGTCACACTTTTGGGTTGGGCAGGAGCAGGCAGGAGCAGACAGGTGCAGACAGGAGCAGACAGGTGCAGACAGGTGCAGACAGGTGCAGGTCACTTCTTGGCCATAGCTCGCTGGATTCGTTCCATCAGTTGGCGATTGGAGGCGGGGCATCGGCTCAGCACCGCCCCCAACTCCGCCTCATTTCTCCGCTCGATTGCCGCATCCGCCGCCCCCTCCAAGTCCCTGAAGAACAAGACCTGGTTTAGACCTGGTTTAGTCCTGGTTTAGTCCTGGTTTAGTCCTGGTTTAGTCCTGGTTTTGAGTCCTGGTTTGGTCTTGGTTCAGACCCGGTCTTACCCGAGCAGGAAACAGGCCTGGACTCTCTGGTCTGGAGAAACTCTCAGGAGGTATTTTTTGGCTTCGTGCTGATTGTGATTTTTCACACAAACTTCAACAAACGGCTGCAACGAAAACAAACAAGAGTTTAAGATTTAAAAACATGTCTGCAGATCTAGATCTGTCTATATTCATAAACATTATATCTCCGTATCTCCACAGATCGATAAAAATGATTACGATAAATCAAAGTACCAAATATCCGATGGGGGACTTCTTGCTCCTGGAGAATTTGTCCAATTCGTCCCAGTCCTGTTTCTCTGCCAGAGCCCGGAGTTTCAACCACCAGAACCTGAACAGAACCACAACAGAACCACAACATAAAGACCAAAACCAGAACACAACATGTGAGTCAGGACCAGGTCTAGAACCAGAACCCGACCAGAACATGAAGAAAACAACTGGAAAAGAACCAGAACTGGATCAAAACCAGGTCAAGGAACCTGGACTGGACCCGAGTGTGACTGGACCCGAGTGGGACTGGACCCGAGTGTGACTGGACCCGAGTGTGTGTAGCGATTCATTTTTCACCCATCACAACATAAATCTCAGTCTGATCTTAGTCCCGGTCTTAGTCCCAGTCCTGGTCCAGGTCTTAGTCTCACCTTTTGTCTGGGACTCTGAAGTCTCTGTAGAGTTGCTCCGCCTGTTTGTGGAGACCCAGGTTCAACAGCGTCTCCATGGTGTCCTGCAGAAGAACATCTGGAGTCACTTCAATTTTAGTTTTGACTCCACAGGCCCCAATGCCCCCCTCCCCCGGTGACCCCCCCTCCCCCGGGTAACCCCCCCCCCCCCCTCCCTCCAGGTGACCCCCCTCCCCCTCCGTCTGCTCCACTCAGAAGCTGCTGTGACCCCAAAACCACATTGGGTTATTCTGTGTGACTCTGGACTCTTCTAAAAGCATCTGAGTCGTACCACCCTGTGGACTTAAAGTTGGACTAAACCAGGACTAAACCAGGACTAAACCCGGACTAAACCAGGTTTGTGTTACCTGCAACGACTGGCCCTGGAGCCCCGCCCCTTTCTCCTCGTCTAGTTTCTTCTGAAAACGAAGCAGCTTCATCTCCTCCTCCGTTGCCTCAAAGAAAGAAAAAGATTTATATAAACCAGGACAAAACCAGGACTATAACAGCGCCCCCTGGAGTTGTACCTTGGCGTTGAAGTCGTTTTTGGCCTTGTTAAACTCGTCCACAGCGTTTTGCAGTGCAGCTATACGTCCCTCCAGCCTCTGAGAGAGAAACAGAACTGAACCAGGACTAAACCAGGACCAAATCAGGTCTAAACCAGGTCTGAATAAGGACTAAACCAGGTTTAAACATACCTGCTCTTTAAAGGCTGAGGCGACGTAGAAGTTCCCAAGTCCTTCGTGGTCATCATCCTGGTTCAGAAGATCTTTGAGAGTCTGACTCTCCTGGACCCTGCAGAACTGAACCAGAACCAGAACTGAACCAGGTCTAAAGCAGGACTGATTCAGGACTAAACAAAGACTAGAGCCGGACTAAAGCAGGTGCAGTGACGTGTGAGTGACAGCAGGGGGCAGTACCTGTCTGTAGAGGCTCAGGGCCAGAGGCTGGTTCCTCAGGGTCATGAAGAAGTCTCCTCTGTTCATCTCGTTTTTCAGAAACGTCACCACCGTGAAAACTGAAACATACACACATATACATTTATATATATATATATAAAATATATAAACACACACACATATATATATATATATATATATATATATATATATATGAAACACACACATGTATAAACACAGTTGTACTCGTACGTGTGATCTGACCAGGGGCACGTCTCATTTCTTTCTTCGCCGCATCACGAGACCAAACGTACAAACGTAACACCATAAACTCAGAGTTTAAATAAACATCAATGTTTCTCCAAATATAAAGTGTTCAGGTGTTTTTATTATTCACATATTTAAAGTGTGTGACACATAAAGACTTTAAACATGTGAATAATAAAAGTCTTTAGAGTGAATCCGCTGGTATCGAGAGGTTTAGGCTGATCATAAAACTACAGAAATAAATACACTGGCTGAAACAGGTTTCCTCCTTCCTTCCCTCTGGTTTCCTCCTTCCTTCCCTCTGGTTTCCTCCTTCCTTCCCTCTGGTTTCCTCCTTCCTTCCCTCAGGTTTTTCTTTGGGATTGTTTTTGACACATTTGATTGACAGCTGAAAAATGGAAGAGGAATGAAGAAGAAGGAAGCGAGGAAAGAGAAATGAGACGTGGCCCTTGAACAATATAGGGTCAAGTGTGACGTCACTTCCAGGTCAAAGGTCGTCAGCTGATCAAAACCTATGGGCTTGTTTTAGTGGCTCTGACCCTGACAGGTGTGACAGGTGTGACAGGTGTGACAGGTGTGACAGGTGTTACCCAGGTCTGTGTCTCCGCTCTCCACAGCTTTACTCAGCGCCAGGTGACTCCTCTTCATCTTCAATAACAAAGGAACCTGCTCCCCAGAGCGAGCCTCAAACTCCAGCAGCTGAGGGACAGAGACGGGTCTAAACCAGGACTAAACCAGGTCTAAACTTTGTTCAGTCCCGGTTCAGTCCCGTTATAGTCCTGGTTCAGTCCCGGTTCAGTCCCGTTAAAGTCCTGGTTCAGTCCTGGTTCAGTCCCGTTAAAGTCCTGGTTCAGTCCTGGTTCAGTCCCGTTATAGTCCTGGTTCAGTCCTGGTTCAGTCCTGGTTCAGTCCTGGTTCAGTACCTTTATGGCGAGCTCGGTTCTTCCGCTCTCGTAGGCTTTCGCTGCGATGTGAGAATACGAGACTCCAGGTGTTTCTCCGACTTTGGAACAAACAACTCGAGCTACAGCTTCATCTGCGAGGTCGACCTGCTGCACCTGGACCAGAACCAGGACCAGGGCCGGGTCAAGACCAGGGCCGGGTCAGGACCAGGCCCGGGTCAGGGGGCTCACATAAACACAGGGGGCGGGGCTTAGAGTGAGTGGGGTGGGGTGTGGAGTGGGCGGGGCTCACACAGAGGGGGCGGGGCTCACCTTACAGGACGCCCAGTGGCGCAGGACGCGGCTCACTCCCTGAAACTCTGGAATCTTCAAATATCGACAAATCTCCATCGCCAAAGGATAAAGTCTCCTGTGAACCAACCTGGAACCAGAGCAGGATTTAAACTGGATTTAAACTGGTCTAAACCAGGTCTAAACCAGGTCTAAACCAGGTCTAAACCAGGTCTAAACCAGGTCTAAACCAGGTCTAAACCAGGACACAAGTGAACCCCCTGGACTCACCTGTCGATCAGCACCTGCAATGTCATCTGTTTGAACCTGAGGTCACAGGTCAAGGGTCAGTCCACTCAAACAGGGCAGCAGTAACAGTAGTAGTAACAGTAGTAGTAGCAGTAGTAGTAGTAGTACTATAGTACATGAAGGATACTGCGTGTGGGTCAGGGGGAGTCCTACAGTACTTTCTCGTACTGCGTTCAGGACTCGAAGTTCTCTGCAGATCGTCACAAACGACTCGGGACTCAAGTCAGACAGGAAGCACTTCCCAAAGGACGCCGCCTAAAGGTCACACAGGGGTCACACAGAGGTCACACAGAGG